TGGTACTGGCGGCCTGGCACCATGTCTGGCTGGTACTGGCCGCCCTGGCACCACGCCTGGCTGGTACTGGCGGCCTGGCACCATGTCTGGCTGGTCCTGGCTGCCCTGGCACCATGCCTGGCTGGTCCTGGTGGCCTGGCACCATGCCTGGCTGGTCCTGGCAGCCTGGCACCATGTCTGGCTGGTACTGGCGCCCTGGCACCATGTCTGGCTGGTACTGGCGGCCTGGCACCACGCCTGGCTGGTACTGGCGGCCTGGCACCATGTCTGGCTGGTACTGGCTGCCCTGGCACCTTGCCTGGCTGGTACTGGCTGCCCTGGCACCTTGCCTGGCTGGTACTGGCCACCCTGGCACCATGTCTGGCTGTTATGGCCGCCCTGGCACCACATATGGTTGGTATTGGTGGCCTGGCACCATGCCTGGCTGGTACTGGCAGCCTGGCACCATGTCTGGCTGGTACTGGCGGCCTGGCACCATGCCTGGCTGGTACTGGCCGCCCTGGCACCATGTCTGGCTGGTACTAGTGGCCTGGTACCATGTCTGGCTGGTACTTGCGGCCTGGCACCATGCCTGGCTGGTACTGGCAGCCTGGCACCATGCCTGGCTGGTACTGGCAGTCTGGCACCATGCCTGGCTGGTACTGGCAGCCTGGCACCACGCCTGGCTGGTACTGGCAGCCTGGCACCACGCCTGGCTGGTACTGGCGGCCTGGCACCATGTCTGGCTGGTACTGGCGGCCTGGTACCATGTCTGGCTGGTACTGGCGGTCTGGCACCATGTCTGGCTGGTACTGGCGGCCTGGTACCATGTCTGGCTGGTACTTGCGGCCTGGCACCATGTATGACTGGCACTATGGCAGCCTGGCGCCATGGGCAGACTCCCTGTGATGGTGCAAGCACTCTGCGGTGTGAGGGCACACAAGCAGCCTGGTGAGGGCCGCCCACCTCGCCGAGGCTGTATCTCAGGAAACCGTGTGCTGGTCACGGCACAGCCGGGAGGTGGTGGAAGGCAGCATCACTGCCCAGTAACTGTGGCTGTACTGGAAGCCATCTGCCAGCTCCCAAACTCCTCCAAGACGTGCACAAAATATTTCTAAAACATTTTAAGCTGGTCGCCAGTGGCTCCCGCCTGTAATCTTAACCACTCAGGAGGCTGAGACCGGAGGATCGCGATTCGAAGCCAGCCCACGCAGCAAGCATGTCTGTGAGACTCTTATCTCCAAAAACAAAACAAACTAACAAAAAATACCCTGGAAGTGGAGCTGTGATTCAAGTGGTAGAGCATTAGCTTTGTGTAAAAAAGCTCAGGACAGTGCCTAGACCCAGGGTCCAAACCCCAGGACCAGCACCACCCCCAAAAGTTAAGTGTCCAGCTTCATTATCCTCCAATACCTTCAGCCATAACTTCTTCATTCTCCTCCATTGGTATCCAGTTTTAGGACCAAATATCCTGAAGATATCGTTTTTCTTCTTTTAAAGTAGCCAATGTTTTCATTGCTTCGAGTTTGTCAACGCCAGCCTCTCTACTTATTATTTCTGCAAGTGCATCATTTACATCCTTGGCCATATTTTTAGCATCTCTAGAAAAGAAAAGAACAGCGTCTCTCCTCACACAGGGAGTTCCCAGCCCTCCCAATCCCCACCATTTCCCCACTCCTGTTAGTTCCTCCTCACATGCTCCCAGCTTCCCTTAGTCAAGGCTAACCCCCACCCAGGTGATAGCTCCCAAATTCAGCCTCGTGCACGGCCCCCTCGCTTAACATCAGCAACAGGTGTCTATGTTCTGAGACAGCTGGAAGCCTTACCTTGTGTGTGAGGCTCAGGACTAGCTTGCCGGGCCTCCTTCCTGTCTCTCAAGGATGCAGCACCCGAACAAGCTGTCCCTTCTAAGCCTTCATACGCACATGCACGCGTGCGCACACACACACACACACCCCCGGGAAGCCACCGACCAGCACCTAACGTGCACGCGCGCACACACAGCCGGGAAGCCACCGACCAGCACTTAACGTGCACGCGCGCGCACGCACGCACACACACACACACACACGTACACACACACACACACACACACACGTACACACACACACACGGGAAGCCACTGACCAGCACCTAACGTGCACACGCACACACACACACACACACACACACGGGAAGCCACCGACCAGCACTTAACGTGTGTGCACGCGCACGCACACACACACACACACACACACGGGAAGCCACCGACCAGCACCTAACGTACACATCCCCAGGAAGCCACCGACCAGCACCTAACGTGCACGCGTGCACACACACACACACACACACACACACACACACACACACACCGGGAAGCCACCGACCAGCACCTAACGTGCGCGCGCAGCTCCATGGCAGGGCTGCGTCTCCTTCAAGGCACTTCCGATGTCCAGCACTGCTCTGGGGCCGTGCCCGGGGTGCACTGTCTGAGGGCAGGGAGCGTAGGTTTCTCCCAGTCCTGGCTCTCAGCACCTCAGCAGATGCTCCAATGTTCGCTAGGCCACGTGAAGCGCAGGATGGGACCATTCCGCTCCTGGGCCCCACAGCTCTGACCACCACAGAGTGCCGTGGTGCTCGGCCTACAACACGCGTTCCCGCTTCTCACGTGACCACCTGCACCAAGAGCCTCCTGGGGGGAGAAGGGAACAGGCCCCCAACTCCAGGAGCAGTTCGCCCTTCCTCAGCGGCTGATCCTCCCTCAGCCCCTGCTGTTCCTGCGTTGTCCAGCCACTGTCACTGTCAGGCCAGGGGCTCCTTGGGACCCTCATCTCAGACCTAGGGATCAGTGCCACACGCCCCTTTAGAGGCACGGAAGTGACTGGAGGAGCCATTTGGGGGACACATTTCAAAAGTTTGAACACCTGGGGCCCTCTCCAAGCCCTCAAGTGCCTTTTTTTCTGTATATTTATATAATCCAAGGATCTCTACTACTTAAGGTGTTTGAAATGTCAGCCTGTATTTGACTGCTGATGGCTCTACTCCTTCGCTAAAAGCTAAATGAAAATGTAAACCATCACAAAGTGTGTAGTGCTTTCCAACTGACAGTCAAAAACCTAGTTTTCTAGTAAATCAAAGCAGACTGAGAAAACATCAACTTAAACTTAGTAGCCAAAGCAGCTTAAAAAAAAACTTAAGCAGGAAAATAAAATTGAAAAATGAAAAGGAAATTACCAAAAAGTGTTATAAAAACAGAAAAATTAAGTTTCACTTACTTAACCCTGCGTCAATCACATTGGTACTTCCAACCGTGTTTTCCCATCCAGTCCCCACGCCTGCCGTCCACTCACCCGCACACATAGATGCAGCCGTCCTCCTCCAGGAGGAGCCGGGCCAGCTCCTGGCTGTGGAGCTGGAGATTGTCCTGCACGTACTTGGCCAGGGCCGCCGCCTCCCCCACAGGGGTCTCTCTCGAGAAGGAGACCTTCAGGTGAGTCAAGATCCCACGCGCAAGGAAATGCTGGAGCTCCTCTCTGAAACAGAATGCACCACAGGTCCAGGAAGGGTGCACTTACCATCAAGAAACTTGAAAACCCAACCCATATCCTCAGTGGCTGAGCACCTTGACACAAGAACTGTTTACCTGAACAAATAGTCCCTGTCCTTATGTCTGCAGCCAAAAAACAACCACATTGCTCCAAAACTTCCATCCGGGTGCTGTTCTTGGAGTTTCTCTCTGTGAGAAAAACAGTTCAGATGTTTGATATACAGAATATAAAAAACCAAACCTCATCTCATCAGAAAATGACATTGGCAGTCTGAGGTTCTCAACAGCTGATACAAGTTCAGTCATTTAAGTAGCGTTAACATCTACTATGGTTTAGATGACCTTTTGTGCTACCATGCTGGAACCATGAACCTGCTAAGCATGCGCCCCACCACTGATGTAACCCAGGCATGGTGTGGGCACTGGGAAAGACCCTGGGACCACAGCCCTCGCCTTCCTCTTGTGCTTCTTGGTTGAGAGGTGAGCCATTTCACTCCATTCCACGTGCACACCATGATCTGCTGCCTCAACACAAGCTCTAAGCCAGTCAATCAATTGTGGACCCACGGAACCTTCCAGAACTGCAAGGCAAAGCTGTCTCTTTGTAAGCTGACTGCCTCCCAGGTACTTCATTATGGTCAGACAGCACAGCCCTTCAGGGCCCAGCGGCGGGCACTGCAGGGAGCACACATGCCTAGAAGCTGTAGACATCCTTGAGTTCTACAGGCCGTAAACATATCACAATGTGACACGTACACATATCACAATGTGATTATGTGCACGGAGCAATGCCGATGCTAAGTAATAACAGTCATTTTATAAGAATTTATAAATGAACTCTTGAATAAATGAACTCATGCATAAAATCAAGCAAGTAGGACATGCAAAGTGCATTTATGCTGTGAGGAGCACACGAACACCACAGAGCATGTCTGCCCTGGGCTCTTGCTCTCTGCTTGGAACACTGATAAAGAAGTGACCATCGAGGGGAGAGGCCTCGGCTACCCAGAGGACAGCGCAAGCCCTGGGCCACTGCTCCACAGCACTGAGAGAAGTATGATCATCTTGCTTTTCACTAGACAGTACTGTTCTGATACTAAGCTGGATCCTGTTGAAAACTACTGATGCCTAAAGTGTACCTGGAACTTTCCAGTACAATGGGACCTGTTTCTACCAATTTTATCATGAAGGAACCTGAAGTTCATGCCATAAAGCACAGGAGAGCTGAAAAAAGGAAACTGCCGGAGCCACTGTAAAAGGAAGCTGCAGTACAGAATGTGACCTAGGGAAGTCACCGCGCCTACCCCTCCCTCCCTCCCTTCCTCCCTCGTCCCCCCCTCCTCCCCTCCCTCAGTGACAGGTGGGTGTGCTATCGCACATCTGATAAGGATGTCTTTTAAATAGACACTTCACAGCCAGAGTTCAATTACTGTAATAACTCCCAAAGAAACAAAAGGTCACTTCACAGCTGCCTGGGCTCCCGGGGGACGCTTACTTCCCCAACAGCCAAAGGCACGCCTACCTGTGTTGCAGGAAACCAATGAAGGGAGCTATGCCGGTTCCCGGACCCACCATGATGACAGGGGCTGAATGGTCACTGGGTAAGTGGAAAGAATTTACTGCTCGAGGAGAGATGGATACCTGAAATGGTAAACAGCTGGTAAGTGCGAAAGAAAACCTAGGCAGAAGGTATGACCAAGATGACCTTTGCTAGGAAATCAGAACGCAACATTCCCCTCAAAGAAGCATTGGAAAAATAAAGAGTAGCCCATGAAACCTGATGCTCACGTCACTAAAGAAAAACTAAATTTACCTTGCATGTACTCATAAACAGACAAATGACATGCACGGTTCTTGTGGAGAACAATGGACAGATTATAAGGTCCTTTTCTAGGCAAAATTTACTTCCTAGCAGGCAACAAACCATAGGTCTACAGAAGATGCACAACAAAGGAGACACAATTCTTCGTGTCTGCACATAAATAGCCCGTCAAGTTTTATAACATGATGGATTCAAGTTTTAAACAATAATAAGGCAGCCAAGACTAGGGAGAAGCTGCTGTGTACAGAGAACTGAAGTATTTGCTACTCAGGTTCTGGTATTACCAAGAAGTACTGGTTTGTGTAAAAGCTAGAACTGACACAGTTAACAGAGCTTTTTAACATTTTGAAACAGTTTTGTTTAAATCAATCATGCAGCAAGGACTCCCAAATGTCTCCCCCTGTCACACACAAGTCATGATGGCCCTGCCACACATGTAAGTCATACTGAATGACAGGGTCAGGACTCCGTTGTACTTCGCATAGTAGTACAACAGCCCCACACTGCCTTGAACTCTTAATCCTCCTGCCTAGCAAGACAGTGCAGGAATTACAGGTACATGTCACCACATCTTGCTTACATTGAGGAAAAGTTTGAAATAGCACATTGTGTAAATGGCAATGCTATGTCTACCTGGAAGTGACTGTGTACTTGTGATGACATCATTCAGATTCAGGTTTACTGAAAGGACTCAATGATAGGCGCCACACACAGAGAAATACACTATCTCCACAGAACGTGCATTATTGTGGTCAGAACTGTAAGAAGCAAACATAGATCCACAGACCATAAGTAGTGCAAGGATTATGAAGATTAGACAAGGCAAGGAACAGACAGATAGGAAAGGAGCTGCTAACTGAAGCTGCACAGTTGGAGAAGGCCTGGAACTGACAGGCCTTTGACAGAGACCTGAGCCTGTGCGAGTCGGCCATGCAAGAGCTGGGGCCTCATGGAAAAGCACAGAGTAAAAGCTCTAAGACAGCTTCCCTGTGTAGGGGCAGGAAGAAGAGCAGAGAACAATGAACCCAGCTCAGGACTCTCACTGCATGCACACCTACGAGCAGAGCAGCAGTGCACAATACCAACTTCCATGGTCCTCGTAGAAAGCTGCAGGTAGGCTGTGCACTGCCCCTGAATCCTCCCAGGGCCTAGGCAGCAAGATACGCCTGACCTGGACAACCTTCTACACTCTGCACCCTAAAAACAATGGCACTACTGCACACAGCAAAGTTCACAGTTCAAGGTACATCCTACCTCTAGTGCATACATATCAGGTGGTTAATAATGTCTTGTTGAAACAAAGAAAGGAGTGAGATGAGGGAATGAGAAGTATGTCACAAGCATCCATGCTTAGCATTTGCTATGTATGCTTGGAACTTTCTGGAGATCACCTGGTGTTTAGACATATCACCAAGACAGAACTTCTGTGAGTATGTAATACTTGCCTTTATAGAACAAAGGGTTTTCATTTCCTAGCGCATGTGGGTGTATAGTGCACGCTGGGTCTAATGAACAGTGCAAAGGGTCTCTGCTCGGGGCAGGGAACTAGGCAGGGATGAGGCAGCTTCAAGCTTGGTCTCCCTGTAAGTCCTCTCAAGAGGGCATCGAAGGGTCCAAAATTTAACTCCAATAACTTAAGGCTACGTTTGTCATAATGCTACAGTGACACATTGATTTCTTCATTACTATGAAGAACACTCCATGAAAAGCCTGAAATATCGTTTTATTTTTAAATGGGCAACTGTAAGTAAGTACCACATGTGGTACTCAAAGTACTTAATCGAAATATGAAGACATCACCTAATCTAAGTACAAATATACCCACAGCTTGTTCAGGAAACTGGGTAAACTTCTTATCCTAAGTGTTTATAAAAGGGATTTCCAAGTGGGAGTGCCAGCCCAGTGAGCAAACCAAGCCAGGCGCAAGCCTGTGTTTAAGCCTTGGTATGGCAAGGAGGGAAGCCAGGCACTGGAGCTCATACCTATAATCCTAGCTACTCAGGAGTCTGAGACCTGGAGGATCACAGTTCAAGGCCAGCCTGGCAGAGCAAAGTCTGTGAGACACCATCTACAATTACCAGCAAAAAGCAGGGCTGGAAGTAAGGCTAACCAGATAGAGGGTGAGCCATGAGCAAGCAAGCTGAGATGAAAAAGTCTTGAGTTCAAACCCTGTTGCAGGATTCGGGCTGGACATAAGATACAGCTGTCCTGACAGATCCTTCAATCCTTCTTGATTTTTCCTGTCCTCCTTCTCACCAATCTACAAAGAATACTTACAAAACAAGGTGGTTTTTCCTGTGAATAGGACAGGCAAGCGCAAGCTAACTATAGAAGTTTATAGCTTTGCAAATTCAGGAAATATGTGGACTGATGAAGGTGAGGGAAAATAACGTAGAACTGGCTAATAGAGATTTTGAAATTTGAGTGTCGTGTACCATTCCCTGGCTGGTGTCAGCAGTGGCCAGTGACAGGGGACCTGGCTGAGCTCTCTCATCAAGCTGCACACTACTGTGATACCTTTGGAGCCCAATCTTCTCTGTTGTCCGCTTGCGATGCCTCTGTGTTTGGCTGAAGAAGGGGGTCGGCCAACGTGGCCAGCCAGCCTGTGCACACGCCCCTCCGGAGGACCACCGCCTCCGACTTGGGAAACTCCACAATGTTGAAAACAAAACGTAGCTTGTCTGGATGACATAAGCCGGAGCTGCGGAAACAGAGGCGTAAGCCACGAATTCTGCATTAGGGCGAACACATCCCGGCTCAATCCATCTTTTCTATTGCAGCAGAGCAATAGTTTCTTATGGACTTGCATCTGCCTTGTCACTCAGAGACAAAAGCAATCTAACTTGCTTACCCCCCCCCCCGGCCCTCCCCTTCGGGATATTATTCAGGAAAGTTACTCGTTTCATTTGTTTAGTCTTCAATACCAGATAAAACTTATAAATACCGAGATGCTGTGACTCACTTAATATTCATAAAGACCTTTCACCATATGAATGAATGGGGATAAACCTTACTGACTTTCATTTTCTGTACTCTGGTGATAAAACTGAAAATGTACTGAAGAAAATTAAACATTCAACATTATCTTTTCTTTTTCCTGCGGGGAGGGCTAGACTTTGCTGACGCTTGAACTTAGGGCCAGGGAGCTGTCCCTTAGGTTTTTCCACTCAGGGCTGGTACTCTACTACTGCCAGCTTTTTGTGGTTAATTGGACATGAGTCTCATGGTCTTTCTGCCTGGGCTGGCTTAGACTCAGATCCCTAGATCTCAGCCCCAAGCAGCTAGGATTACAGGTGTGAGCCTCTGGCACCCAGCTTTCAATATTATCTTTAAAAGGTACTTCTACAAACCCTATTGCTTTTCATGTTATATGATAAAATAATGTGAAAGGGTGCTGGGCTGCTTCTCCTTCCCACAAGTGCCAGCAAGGGGAGTCAGGCCTGAACCTGAGGCAGCACTCATGGGATAGGGTACAGCAGAGGTTCCCCCTGCCCACTCCCCCTCCCTCGTCCCCCTCCCTGGAGGTGGAGGGCCAGGACGCTGGGTGATGGGAGAGCCAGTCAGAATCTTCCTATGTGAATTCCCCGAGGACAGAAGTCCTCTGCTCTCCTTCATACTGCTGTGCCCAGCCCCGTCTCACACATCAGCTAAGTTACCAGGAATGAACCCTAAGTCATCGAGGATTTAGAAATCTGGATGTTATATGATTTGGAGGAAAAGAGGTTTTATATCATGTTAATAAATATTAATACCTTGCACATGAATATGGTCTAGGCTGGAGTTTAGGAAGATGTTCTAGAAAAAATAAGAACAATTATTAATTCACTGATACAGAAAATAGCTTTAGATTAAAAAAAAAATCTTAAGGCCTAAATTTAATTCCTACTTTTTCTTATTTAGAATATTCCAAATCATTTATGCCATAGTTTTAAATCATACTTGATAGCACATCTAAGTTCAATACTGTCTAAGAAAAGTATCATTAATTTTTCCTTCCAATTCCTAAAGTTAAAATCCTTTGCCTTCACCCTGAAATTAGTAGTTCTCCCAAATGCTGGCCACATAAACCCAAAGAAACAAGAACAGGATCCACAAATGGGCTTTAGAGTCAAGGAACTCATTCAACTTCCTTGTATGTGAAACTGTCTGGGGAGAAATGTCTAGAGTTTTCAGATTTAAAATAAAGTCATAATCTCAAGAAGATCACAGACTATTATTTTATAGATTACTGGAAATACATATGGGTTTAAGATACTTTTTCTTCTTTTACTTGTGTAAGGAAAAAGGTCTATGTAGTGTAGAGACTTTTTTTTTTTTTTTTGGTGGTCGTGGGGCTTGAACTCTGGCCTGGGCACTGTCCCTCAGCTCTTTAGCTCAAGGCTAGCTCTCTACCACTTGAACCACAGCACCACTTCTGGTTTTCTGAGTGGTTTATTGAGATAAGAGTCTCACAGACTTTCCTGCCCAGGCTGGCTTTGAACCATGATCCTCAGAGCTCAGCCTCCTGAGTAGCCAGGATTACAGGCATGAGCCACCAACACCCCGATATGGTAGAAATTTTTTAAGGCAACTGTGGAGAAACTATGTGGTTTCAAGGAGTACTGGTAGTCTTGGGAAAGCAATTCAAATCACCATTATTTGAAGCATATACTAACAAATCTTGAAGTTTTTCTGTGTAGTATATTTTTTAATATATTTCAGAAAAGCTTTCAATAGTATATCCCAAATGGTATAAAATTTTGATACATCCTGGAAAACAGGTCTAATAAAAGGCTCATCTTAAGCTTTAGATACACTTTTTTCTTAAGAAAGTTGAGGAATTTTAATTCTATAGGCTCCAAATATTTTTACATATTTTAATTTTGCAAAAAGTTGTTTTTATAAATATTTAAAAGTAATGGGAACGTACAAAAGAATAAAGCGTGAAAAATTTATATATATTAAGAGAACTTTCTAAGACTTCCTGACCCTGAGCCACCAACTTTAAAGCACTGAACCGAAAAGTTTTTGAGAGAACCAGTTCCAGGAAGGACAGACCCTCCAAGTAATGCTATTTTACTCTTCTGGGGAGGAAGAATGAGATGAAGGCACTATCAGACATCAACGGAGTCCTTGCCAGCCTAACTAGACATGTTTCAGTCACTGAAGATGCGTGAAGATTAAGGTCTGGCTGGGTATCCAAAGCACATGACATGAACTACCCCAGGCAGGTAAGAGAGCCTTCTAGTGAATACTAACATCTTCAGGAAGGTTTCCTTAGACATCAGCTGACCTTGAAGGCTGCGAATGACGCTGGACTACCTTTCATCTGGAATATTCTGTGATGAGTCTCAGCTTCCGAGTGCCGGAGCATGACATGAAGAGCCCCTGGGCACCTGCAGGACCCTCTGTGTGGACCTGCCTGACCGACTGTCTCTGCACCCACACGCAGCCCTGGCTGCGTTCACCTGCCAATTACATAGAATGTGCTGCTCTCAGGCAAACACAATACTTTTTTTCTTAGCCCATGTCTCGAAAAAAAGTTAGCTAAATAACCTCTAAAAAAAATAAATTTGAAAGGACATTAGGTTCTATGCAAAAAGGAAAAATGAAGGTTTGTTTCAACAGAGGAAATGAAATGACAGAGACATCAGTGGAGCAGCAGGGAGGCTTGGTACATGTGTGAAGACCAGACGTACCTCGGGATGGCACTCACCGAGCAGGAGGCCGAGCGGCGGATGGCAGGACGGGAAGGCAAGGAGGAGGTCCAACAGGCAGGCAGCGGCATCGCGTACATACAGGGCGTAGTCCGAGGCTCCCTGTTTGCTGCACAGCTCCTGCAGCCTCCGCTTCTCAGCACTGTCACTGGTGTAGTCTGCCAGGGCTCGCACGAATGCCTGGGATAATGAAGCCACAGTTCATTAATTATGACCTGCGTTGAGTTAGGACTATGTGAGGAGTCAGACAGTAAGTGCTGCTCACTGGCACAGCAGCACTTGCAAGGACTTAAGAGACTCTGGGTTCAGGACCTAGCACTGTAGGAAAGTCGAAGACACGAACACACACACACACACACACACACGAAAAACCCTGTAGGCTCCAAACACTCAGTGAAAATTCACCTGGTGATAGGATCATGCCTCCATCCTAAGCAGCCTGGCCAATCAATCGTAAGTACATAACAGGTTTATACCAAGAATATAATCACAAAATCTCATAACTCAAGATTTCATCTCGGAATACATTTGTGTGTGTGTGTGTATGTGTGTGTGTGTGTGTGTGTGCGCGCGTGCGCACGCATGTGCGGGTACCAGGACGTAACCACAGGGCCTTTTGCTCTCGCTCAGCTTTTCTACTCATGGCATGTACTCTACCACTTGAGCCATGCCTCTAGTTACCACTTTTTGCTCATTATTTGTCAGTCTCATGAATCTGTCTGCCTGGGGTAGCTCTAAACTTTGATCCTCAGATCCCAGCCTCTTGCATAGCTGATAGGCGTGAGCCACTGGTTCAGAACACATACTTTTTGTCTAAGTAGATGATTATAATGTAGACCTCAACATTCATTTTACAATTGTGAAATACTTTTTATAAGCGGGGCACTGAGTGACAGTGATGCCCTGGGGACCAGATGGCACCTTGGTCCCTAAGGAATGGTAGTCTAGTAAGAACATCAGAGAAATCAGAAGACAGGAGAGGAGGGAAAGGGAAGGGGGTCATGGGAAGAGAGGACAATATTAATTACAGCACTCTTGATGCTCAGTGATAATGACTTCTGTCAGGGCCTAGCTTAGAAAGCTTTATCCATTAGTATGCATTTGAGAGAAATGTTCAGGAAGAAATCAGGGACAATTGTTTTTAAAATACAGTTCCTGGTGTAATACTGACCTCTAGTGGATTGTTCCAATTCCAAATGTATCTATCTGAACATCAGTATAAGAAACCAAATGGCTTCAAGTTTTCCCAAGGAATTCTGAATCAGCAACAAGCATATGTAACATCACACAGATGCCATGACAGTGGCCACATGCACCTGCGGACAGCACCACTGTGCACTGTGCTATGTGAAGCTCGTGCCTAGGGAGACTACGACTATGACAATGACAGGTTTTATAAACCTACAACAGCACAATGTGAATGCAAACAAAAAATAAAATAGCTATCTACTCTATGACAATTGTACAACACCATATGTCTTTGGAAACTAATTCTAAAAACCATATACCCCTGGGAATTAATTCTACAAATACGGTGCAAAGACCAGTTTTTAAACTTTGAAAAATAATGTTTTGTTTAAAAGTAAATTCTAACTAGACTTAAGCACATTTTAAAATGGTTACTTGCAAAGAAGCAAAAAAATACCTTTTTAGGAATAGATCGTATTTCAAGACACCAGGTGAGAATGAACTGAAGAGAACGCCCCTCAGGTACATGCTGGGGTAAGACAGCGCCTTTCTCAGGAAAAGACAGGAAAGAAAATCAGGATACAGAAAATAAAGAACAATCACAGCACTAATTCTGGACATAGGCTGAATATTCCCCAGAACACAATGAACTGTCACCTTTACATCAAATGCCATCAAAATGTAATTGACATGGCAAATCGGCAGTGTTCCATAAAATACTATTCTCAGAACTTTATATATAAACTCAAGATCAAGACTGCACACAAATAAGTTTCATGATTTTAAAAATACCTTCTTTCAATTATAAAACAGCAAATACTTTTAAAAGCAATGTAAATGTTTACTTCTCGTCGCATTGAGATGTTTATCAAAGATTACTTCAATTATCATTTTGTGGCCACTGTCCAATCAGTGTAAAAGCCACTACAGTTGCCTCCAATGCAGCCAATGGGAGCAATCAGAAGTGCCAGCCCGCAGTGTGTCTGTGTGCCCTGACAGGTGGCTGAGCCCCAGCACAGGTCCTGTCTCCGTGCTGCGTGCCAGCACCCTGCTGCGTGCCAGCATGCTCGTCAGTGCAGGCACAGCTCTGAGCGCACCTTTCTTCTTTGTGTCTGCCTTGATTTCCAGGAAAACCCGGTGCTCCCGCTGGTCAGCAAGCTGCAGTCTTTGGAGAAGGCTGTGTACCTCGGAATCACTGTTCGGACAGATGACATTGAAAGCATCTCCAGGCTGATAGGAAAATCCTGTTGTCTAGAGAAGATCCAATATGAAAAAATATTCTGTATGAATACAGAATATACAATTTTAATATGAAAGTTTAAGCTGTGAGTTTTCATTGTAGACCATTTTCAGAGGGCAATGGAGGGCTAAATGGATCTGAGTACTCCGATTCATTTATGGAATCGTCAAAGACACCCCTTACTGTACACAATCAATACATACCAATAAACAATACTGGGCAGGGCACCAGTAGCTCAAACCTGTAATCCTAGCTACTCGGGAAGCTGAGATCTGAGGATCCAGGTTCTAAGCCAGCCCAGGCCAGGAAGTCCATGAGACTCTAATCTCCAAATAACCATCCCCCAAAACTGAAAAGCTGAAAGTAGAACTGTGGTGCAAGTGGCAGAGCACTAGCCTTGAACAAAATGAAAAAGCTCAGAGCTAGCACCCAGGTCCTGAGTTCCAGTTCCAGGACTGGCCCAAAATAGTAACAATACAGGAACTCAGAAACAAAAGAATCCTAATCACAAAAAGATAGTAACAAATGAGCCCAATTAACAGAATGAATAACTTTTTAATATTACTTTAGAAAAGAAACTTGGTAATTATGCCATGTTTTGCCTCTGTTACTACATCTTCACAAACATAAAGCATCGCGTCCTTACTTTCCACAAAGTGAGGTCCATAATCTACGTAAAACCCAAGTCAAAATTCTTTTTATAAAGCATCCACACACATGCACCAAGGGAAGCTCATTAGGCCATCTGCACTGCTTTCCAATTCCCTTGTCCCTGCTTTGCCCCGTTCTGTGGGGGAAGAGGAGAGGAGAGAGGACCACCACTCACATCCCCGGCCTTCAAGGGCAGGCTTGGCTCAGAGACCAGCCGACCTCTGCTATGCTTCTTTACAGGGTGAAGACGTGGAATATCAGGATAAAACCTGTTCTGGGGAACCCAGTGTACTCAACAGTACAGAAACAAAACCATCTAGTTTGGATGTCTGAGAGTCTTCTATTAGGATGCTAATAGAAACACTGAGATGACTTTAGTTTCTGAAAACACAGCCTGAAGAACCCTCATTACATAGCGCTGAGCGACTGGAGTGGGAAGAGGTTCTGAGCACTGACCAGCTAGGACTCTCAGTCAGCTTCTTACCCTGAGAGCAATGGGTCCCAGCAGGGGAGAGGGACAGAGACAGTGTGGACCCCCTGAAGCTGTAGGCAAATATCTCTACACAACCATTTGTCTTCCATTCTCCCAGAACCAGAAGCACTGTTCTGAGAAGTCAGTCCTCACCTGACTGGGTCTCAGCTCTTTCTAACTAGCTGGCTGATCTCAGGAACAGCTCCTTTTGGTGGGCCAATCCCAGGCAAAATGCCTTTCTGGTTCCATAATCCTTTTATGGTTTATAAGTAAGGCAGCAAACTAAGCTCTCTGCTGAGTCACTACCAGCCACTCCTCAACTTGGCCTTTACCTGGAGTGGAAAGGAAGGAGGGGTCACCTGAGAAAGCCCGAGGGACCAAGAACGGCCCGGTGTTCAGGCAGGGACCTCTTTGGGAGCCAGTTCCATGCAGGCTCTGTTCATGGGGACAATGTGACCACTGAGAAACGGTTACTTACTGAAATATCCAATTCCAGCAGGAGAGTGGTTTTTATGGCATCATCTGCAGTAAGCTGAATGGCTTTTGAGATTGGAACTTGAAAAACGGGATCCAAGGAAGTCACAGATTCTTGGCTTTCCTCCTTGAGAAACAAAAGGGGATTCAATATGAGCAAATGCAATGTCCAATCACACCAGTCCTTCAGTTAGCAATAGTGCATGCCCTGGCTACTACCTAATACTCATTTCTAAGGTAAAGGGTGCAAACTCGTAGATCTCACTTTTCAAAAGAACAGTTCATAATATTTAAACTCTTTGTCAATAGACTTAGAACTTCTGAAAAACACAGAAAATATTAACATTAACATTTTCACATAATGGCCTAGCCATCTTCCTAATATACTGAGTAGAGAGATAGAAAGCATGCAAAAAATTCAGGAAGGAGATTCTCAAGGAAAGGATCAGCACTTAAGGTAGAATGTTTCTGTCCAGAAAAGGTCACGGGAGGCCCTGGTGCTGGGCAGCATTGGTCATATGGCTGGTGAGGCCTTAAAGTAATTATGACTTACAATTAGATTCTTACTATTATTATTTATCAAGTTAAAGTACCTACACAGGACTAGTAGACTTTGCACTGGACAACACAGCTCTTGGTTAACGAGACCTAATATCTTCCAAATGCCTTTTCTAACTTGATATTACTAAAAGTAGGAAACAATGATTAAGTGCTAATTAAATTTTCTCTTTAATTTGTGCTGGTCCTGGGCTTGCTCTCAGGGCCTAGGCACTGTCCTTGAGCTTTTTTTTTTTAAATTCACAGTGTCACTTCTAGCTTGTCCGGTGGTTAATTAGTAATAAGAGTCTCATGGATTTTCCTGCCTATGTTGGCTTTGAACCATGATCCTCAGATCTCGGCCTCACAAGTAGCCACCAGCACTTAGCTAATTTCTAAGTTATTATGTGGGAAAGATGGGAGCCAGCCCAGGGCCGGCTGGTGCCTGAAGATGCAGAGAGAGAGAGAGAGAGAGAGTGTGTGTGTGTGTGTGTGTGTCGGGGGGTGCGAGGTCTCAGGTGTGTCCCTCAGAACACTGGCGTGAACAAAGTGCTGTGCCTCAGCCCTGGCTGCCACCTGTGAGAGACTCTCATCAATCTCTGCTCGCTGCGTGCCAGCCACGCCTCCTCTCACCCAATGTGGCCAGTCACTATGAGCCTTGACTCTCCAAAACTGAGGAAAAGTCTAAAGGAGCAAACTCCACAGGACTGGCGGAGCCTTTGCAGCTCCTCAGCATGCCAGTTCTGCACTGGAGATCCCAGTGCCTGTGCGGCGCTGCTACAGAGATGCTTTGAAAACGCCAGGGTGATTCCTGTCAATCCCGGCCATCTGGTGAGGGCTGGTGCTACAATCGTCTGCAAAAGATGCTAAAATGGAAGCGTGGCGCTGGGCCACCCAGACTCAGTATTCTCTGTCACAGCTGCCCCAGTGCAGAAGAGACCTCAGTCACATCTGCACACTCTAACCACCAGTCCAGACACATGATTACTAAGAGCCGGCATGTCTGCTCCCCAGCCTGATTAACATGTACTTACTGCTATTACCTCACTTAAGTGACTCATAATAAACACAAAGCACAAACACAGCAATTTACAGTTATTTATGCATAAAAACATTATCTCAATGTTTCAAATATTAAAACAATAGGCTAAAATACAGCTATCATATTAGATGTTCACAAACAATTCTGATCATGGCTCCTAACCTGCCTGGACAGGTAGTCCATGAGAATCTTAACCTCCAATTACACACCGGAAAGCAAGAAAGGAAGCTGTGGCTTAAGTGGTAGAGTGCTAACTTGGAGCAAAAGAGCTCAGGGACAGCATCCTGGCCTCAAGTTCAAACCCCAGCACCATCAAAACAAACAAAAAAAATAAGAAATGGTGGTTGTCGTATTAAAGGTGTTTTTAAAAACCACTTTATCTCATATTTAAAGATTATATGCACTGGAAATTTATTTTACGTATCCTGAAGAAATTTTAGGGTACCTTTTATTGGTACTAGTAGGTAGAAATTAGCTATTACTCAACTCCCAACTCAATGCTCAAAAATGAAAGGTCTTAGCCTGCCCCAGCCCTGGAAACACACACACACACACACAAAAAAAAAAAAAAAAAAACAAAAGACCATTTAATATAGACAATAGATAGGTAAGAAACCAGCTAGAAAAACAAAATTTTCCCCATACTGCAGCATCCGAGGATGCCCAAGTCCACGTAAAGTGTAGATTATGCTGTGAGGAAGTTCTCAAAAGTTCCACTAAGGTGCACGCCTTGCTTCCCACAAAACTTACAAAGAAGTTCTGCAAAATAAGCCACTTACACTTCAAAGACAAAAGACGTGATGCACTACATTATGCTTTGGGTAAAAAGCATTTTGGGTTTTGTATATTTCATATAAATGTATTTAAACATTTATATTAATGTGTTTCTGTATAAATACATTTTATACAAGTATGTTCCATTGTATAAATGTAGTTATACAATGAAATACAATTAAAATAAAGTAATTATCTTATTACTTTTGTGATACTCGGAGCTGTACCTAGGACAAATCTTATATACATTAGACAAGTACTCTTTTTTTTTTTTTGGGTCCGGTCTTGGGGCCTGAACTCTGGGCCTGAGCGCTGTCCCTCAGCTCTTCAGCTCAAGGCTAGTGCTCTACCACTTGAGCCACAGCACCACCTCCGGTTTTTTCTTTTTGCTTATGTGGTGTTGGGAATCGAACCCAGGGCCTCAGGCATGCAAGGCAAGCGCTCTTACCACTGAGCCACCTTCCCAGCCCGACAAGTACTCTTTTTATCAGTGGCCTACAGCCCAGGCCCATGAGGAACTTGGGGGAACAACATGTAAACATTAATGTTTCATGAATACCTTATTCACAGCCCACCTGTAACTTCATGCAGTACTTTCAATGCACCTGTAGCATGATTCAGATCTACCATATGGGGTGCAGTATGAAAGTTTCCAATTATGGACTCATGCTAACAACACTCAAAGATGTTAATTTCATACCATTTTTCATTAGGGTGCTCAGTCTGTACTACAAATCCCTTAATCCAAGAATGGACAAACACTTCTTGAAAGGCCAGAAAGCAAATGCCTAAAGTTTGGCAGGCCTCAACAGCAACACCCTTCTGGCAACTGCTAGCAGAGCTCAACCTGTGCAGCAAAGTGTGTGTGGTTCTGTGCCCAGACCTATAAACAGAGGCTATGGGTCACATTCACGCTGGGCAGGAGAGCTAGAGCCTGTGGAACGATATCAAAAAAGCAAACACCCCAGGTTAAAGGGCACAAATAATACAAGGTGAATTGCTCACCTGACCCAGAGACTCCCGCAGATGCACCTGCAGATACTCTGGGGGTAAGGCAGGAATACTCAGAGAGGCTTGCGAGAGTGGAGGTATAGAGCGCACAAGGGAAGGTTCCAACTCTTTGACTGAAGTACTGGAGTCACTTCTGTTCACTTCACCTTGCTCCAAAACCTCAGAGTCCCTTCCTCTTGAGTCATCCAATCGCAGTAGCTCAATCTGTGACTCCATGTGTAACATCTCTGGCTTCAACAAAGTATTTGATGCACTTGGAAGAGCGCCATTCATCTCCTCCTGTCCTCCACTGGACTTAAAATGCTTTGTGAGGGCAGTCCAGAGCCCAGCAATCCACGGCTCAACCACAAGTTCTAAACTGGTAGAAAAGGGAAGAAGATACAAAGTTGTCTATCTGATCACAACAGAGGATAATAGGTGAGTCTACCCATCTGGCAGAATGCTAGATACAACCATAGAAACTATGTTGTTTAAAGAGTATCCCAAACATAATCAATACTCAGAAATATATAACAGTTATATATAACATAAGCAAATATAAGTGATTATAATAACTACTCAGAAGTTCTTTAAAAAGCACTCAGCTATCAAAAATATGAACATGTTCACAGGTCAAGATATAGGAAATGAAGATACTGTAGTCATTAAGACAGAGGAATACAACTCCTCTTAATTTCCTAAAGTAATTGGTAGTTATAGTAAAAATAATTGGTAATTGGTAAAAACAATTGGCAATCATTTCTTAAATAGTTCTTTTAAGTTAAAATTTCAAAGAGGCATGACAAAGGCTAAATAAATTGAGCAAACTTAGCCAAAATCCAAGGCTACTCCTATGCAGCAAGTATTGATTACATAATAAAGTACACCTTCTTTTATGCCTAACTTGATTGTGTTCATACTGATTAAAACAGCATCAGGACCCAACATGGAGTAATGCCAAGTGCTTTCCACTCAATAAACATTTCTAATCTATCAGTTATGAACAATTTTGTGGAGAAGGAGAATTTTCAGGGGACTGACCTGAGGGAAACAAAGAAAGCTGGGTTAGCTTTCTTTTAGAAGTTGAACTAACCGTAAAGTTTAGTAGTCCTCTTAGCACTAACAAAGCGCATCTCAACACTAACCTTTCTCATATTTCTGAACAGCAGTAAAATATTTTCCACAGAATAAGAAGGCTTGTCAGAGCAATGGAAATGATGTTTTATCACTAAGTATACAACAGTACACAGCTCACAGTTTAGGGTTTACCCTGAGGAATCTTACTGAAAGCAAGTTCATAAAATCACAGGCTCAGTAACAGTTACATATAATCATTACAGTTACACTCAGAACTCAGACATATTAAGCTGATAATATTCATAACTACAGAGAGAGCTGCTCAGCGAGGCTGGCTCATGAATGTAATCCTGGCTACTAGGGAGGCAAGCATTAGGAGCACTGTGGATTGAGACAAGCCTGGCCAAAAAGTACCTAAGACTTCATCTCAACCTGTAAAAAATAAATTAGGGCTGGGCACTGGTGGCTCATACCTATAATCTTACTCAGGAGACTGAGATCTAAGGATCATGGTTCAAAGCCAGCCGGGGCAGAAAAGTCTGTCAGACTCTGATCTCTACTAAAACTACCAAAAAAGCTGGAAGCAGAGTTGTGATTCAAGTGGTAGAGCGCTGGCCCTGAGCAAAAGAAGCTTAGAGACAGTACCTAGACCCTAGATTCAAGCCCAGGATTGGTACAAAAAAGAAAACTAAACGTTATGTCTGCTGGGGACCCACTATCCCGGCCAGGCAAGAAGTATCGGTAAGAGGATCACCATCCAGATTGGCCCCGACATAACAATGCTCAAAAAACAACTAAAACAACAGGAACTGGGCATAGCTCAACTAGTGGCATGCCTGCCTAGCCAGCACTCAAGTTCTGAGTTCAAATCACAGAACTGACAAATGAATAAACAAGAGCAAACGTTCACTTAATATTTTACTGTATTACAGTATGGTTCTAAGAGGAAAATGTTCACTGTTCTTTTTTGTCTATTCCTGTAAGATTACACAGAAAATCTTGTTACTGACACTTCATAAGGAAGAAATTAAGGCCCAAAATGGGTTCAGTGAAAAAGTGGGGATCAAGGGTTTGAACCCAAATGTTCACAGACCTGAGTCTGCATGCTTATCCCTCAGTGTGGTGCTACAGAAAGCAAGAATGTCTTCTAGAAAACACCTTGATTTTAGAAAAGAAACATTCAAGTAGCGGGCTGAATTTTAAAAGGGGCAGAATACTAAAATACACATTTATGAATTTTAATACTTGGTCCAATAAACAGGCAGGAAAGGCAGAAGTATTTATAGATTTGCAAAATGTAGACAAAATGAACCTAACTTGTTAATATAGAAATTATATTAGCAAATAAACAGTGTATACGACTTAAAGGTCTAATGCCAATTGGATTTGGTAAAAATAAATTGCAGCATAAAGGAACAAACTTAAAAGGTAACATGTAAAAAGTGTGGCTGATTGTGTCACTGTGAGGAAGACCACATGTGTTGCAGACCCAGTAAACACCCAGAGCATCCGAGCTCCAGAAAATGCTGGAAGGAATGGTGAGGGGAGCTGTCCATGGGAGGAGACAATGTGCAGAGGACACTTGCTGGATTCATCATGTTCATAAACAAAGACCACTCAGTAACACGTGAGAGAAAATTGAGTTAATATATGTACCTAGTAAAACAAACAAACAAAAACCATGCCTATGTGTTATCTGGTTATAATAAAAACAGCTAAAAGTGTGTGCTGTTGTCTGACTATAATAAAAGTAAAGGCTAAGTGGCTGAATAAATGATATGACCACACTATAAGACCTTCGATTAAACACATTAAGATGACTCAAAAGGTTGTGCATGGGAGGAAATAGTGAGTTGTAAAATCAAGAATAAAAGAAACAAAAACGATAAAGCCTGGGTATTTGGCGAAAGCCTACTGGTAGTAGGCTACTGCTGGACATGCTGACCCTTACAAAGATGCACACACTTTAGCTAAGGGAACTGCACTGAGAAGCGTTTCCTAACACATGCAGCACACAGACACAACACACACACACACAAATACGTTACTCTGAGCTCTAAGGGACCTCTGTGGATCCTAGAGCTCTCCGAGCTAGAAATCTAATCTAACATGACTTCTAGCTCAAAGTGTCATGTGGCCATGGTTTATCACGTTTATACATAAGAGTTTATTGTTCTTACCCCACACAGTCATCTGCATGTCCAGTGTCATAGAAATGTCGGGCTCCAAGCTCCTGAAGTCGCTTATCAATTACTTTCCCTCCATTACAAAAGTATGTGTATTCGGAATCACCCAAACCTAGACCAAACAGAGCCTTAGAGCATACTATATTTTAAATGTACAGACATTAAAAACACAAGAAATAATTAAAACAGTAATATTCTATACTCTTACAAAAAACACCATTTCACATGTTCATATTTTTCTTAATATTAAGTGGGGATGTTATGTTATCTTACAACACAAAAGTACCAGATATACTGGCACTATAAAACAGACAAATATTCGTTGACAGCTGTTCAAAGAAACATACATACTTCATGTTTTGTTTCCAAGAATCTGTAAAAGTACTGAAATTTCAAAAATGATCAGGCAGGTTTATGATACGATTCTGTACACTTTTCTGACCCTGAGCAGTGCACTGTCAACCACAACCTGAACCAAATGGCTTTGATTTTGCAAATAAAGTGTCACTGGAACACAGCCAGGTTTGTCTGCTTGAGTATCACTGTGACAGGTTTGAAGCTACAAGCAGAGTCTGGTCCTTTCCAGCAAGTATGACCCCTGACCTACAGCACAGGGCTCATGAACAGCACACCACCAGCTGCTATAAATGTTTGCCTTGGGTAAATTTTACATTGCTTCTACCTTTCATTTTAAGAAGAATGACTAACATTTCAAATGAGGCTGAAATTTTAAAATTAAAGGCTTGAAATTCTGTTTGATCGTCCCCATGTGAGATGGATGGACAGGATGACTCTGATAAGAAGCACTGGACATATAAATGGGAATGTTAAATTGTCACCCCTGATACAATCTATTCAAGTTTAAAAATGGAAAAAAAACTAATAAAATTTGTTAATAAAAAAAATATATCCTCATGCTTTTTTCCAACTGAGAAATAGATGGATTCATATGTGAGACCAACATTGACTAGAATATCAGCTCGAGAGGTTTCAGGATTTTCTTTACAATATTTAGAAAAATATTTATTTTCGAAGTAATACCTGTTCATTTTTGAAAACGCTAAAATGAGAAAAACTTCAGTTTAGGAAAACTATCTCACTGTGAAATACTCTCTTGAACTTGTGCTATATACCAGATCATGGCCAGGATTCCAATTTCAACATCTAAGCAATTATTGATCATAAACATCCCCCTCTTCAGAAAAAAATCTCCGAAGGTAAGTAATAAAACCACAAAGCCAGGCAAGAGGGGGCCCTTGACACCCTTTCTGGTGTCATCCTTTGCTTTTGATGGTCTTTCTAATCTTTTATCTTAATCTGTTTAAACTAAGCTCCACACAGCCCTAGGCCAGTTTTCTCAACTAGAAATACATTCTTAGAAGCTTTAAAAGCATCACTTCCAGAGCCCTATCCCTGACATCACTGGTGATAAGCCAAGTGAAGGAATGGTTAGAACTCCCCAGATGTCTGAATGTGCAAAAAGGGATCAAACACCCCTAACCTAGAGGCACAGTCTTAAGACACAATCGCCTGGAATTTTTTGTGTGGTTTGCTGTGGTTTTAAACAAGGAACAGCATGAGGGGCTGTTCTTTCAAGGGTTCTGTTTTGTTTGGGGTGAGGCCTGGACACTAATATTGTGAAAATTCTTTATGACTGGAACAGTCTAGAAAGTCACGGAGAAGATGTGCAGAGCTAGGAGATGTGAAGCACTTGCCTCAGCACCTCAGGGAGAAAGGTACAGCAGGGCATGGCTGGGAGGTAAAAAACAGGGAAGACATATACATCTATAAATTTTACAGTTATAATATTTATGCAAACAAGACCCATATAATTCTACTTTATGGTTTTGAAAGATGTATTCAGATGCCAAGGTTAAAGCCATTAATTAACATCATAAGGCAAGAGCAGAAAATACTGTTCATTACCCAATAATCCATACCGCAGGTGAGCAAAGAAGTCAGCGGGGAGTGTCTTGTCATGTATGTCTTTCACAAACTTCCGGGCTGTGTCAGGAGGATCCCCAGTGCCTGTGGTAGAGACAACCACCACCACAGGGGCAGTTTCCGTGTTCAGATCATACTGCAAAAAAAACCCAGGCATCGAGTCAGGGATCAGATGCCAAACAGCATGACAAAGCCATCAGCTTAGTTTACTCCATCTTCTACTTCCTCTCTATTTCTTTCCTTCCCAAGTTGCTGGAGATGCATGCTGGACTGATCAGCCCAATGAGCAGGTGTAGGATGTAATTCGGTGGAAATGTGCATCTGCTGATGTGGTTAACCACGGATGGGCGCTTCACCCCAGTAGTCCAGTTCTTCACTTCAGGAAACTCAGAGAAGAGACATTCACTCTGCTGCTGTGCTCTGTACCAAACATTACACAGGGGCTCTGGAAAGCGAGGCCACCAGCCCCTGAGCTAAAACAAGAAGCCAAGGACCTTGAGCTGGCACGGAAGAAAGGCAGCCACTGGGTAGCAGTGCCTCACTGAGTACAAGTGTCTTTTCACAAGAAAATAAGAAGAGTGAGTGAAGAGATTCCTAGAGGGGAGGTAAGATGCAGAAATAAAAGAGAACCAACACGTAACTATCCAGGATTAAAACAGCAGAACACACGGGACATCCCACTGAAGATACAAACAGCAATGGAAACACAGCAGCTCTAAAATCTTCGGCAAAGTTAAGCACAGTCATCTATACTACAGATGACACAAGAGCATAGAGACAGATAGGCATTTTCAAATGGGAAATTCAAAGTGCTGCCCTCAGCCTTGGCTGCTTGTCAATCACAGCTCCTCGTTGCCCCCAAGTTCCGGAGAGCTGAGCATTCTATCATGTGTGTTTCCATCCTTAGAAACCAAGCCTCTAATAGAATACTTCACTCTCTTATGATCCCATGAACACTGCTGTCCATGAACACTCAGTGGCAGCAGGCGTAGCTTGATGGTAGGGCACCTGTTCAGCATCCTCAAGGCCCTGGGTTCTATCCTTAGTGCCACAAAGAGTGAAATACAATGAACTCTTTGGACTCAAATTAGCTCATGCATCATTCACAGTGACAAATTCAGTTAGAGTCCGTCTGGCGGCACTGCAATGTCTCTATCCCATGACAGAGCCGTCCCGTAGCTGCACTGGGACATGGCTTTCTAGGACTTCATTACAGCCACACAGACAGCGCTGCTGAAAGCAGCCAGCTGAGTGTCCTTCTGTGAGCTACGTTTCTAACTCTCCTCTGCTGCAGCACAGTCTCATCTTTTGAACTTGAATCATCAGAGATGATTGGGAACTTGAATGAGAAGCACTGAAGTGAAAGTGACTGGTTACTGACTGGCATATCACCAGGATGTTAACACCTCAACTGTGAGGAACACTAGAATCTAGAGGCCTCAGACACAATGAAGAACACAGAACTGTTAGGTTTTACATGCCCTCGAGGATGAAACTCTGCAGAGAACCAGGAAGCATGCAAACAAGCTGTGCCTATCTGAGTAGACAATCTTGTCTGCAGCCTAACGCTACTACCCCTTAGCTTCTGTTCCACAGAACAATCTAGGTGGTCTCTCATTTGGAGGAATTCTAACATGAATCTCAAGGCCATTCTTGCTTGAGATGAATGAATGGAAAATCACGCATACAAACAGACACAACTCCACTGTTCTTACAGCCAAACTGTGAGAGAAACAAGGTGCAGCTTAACTGAAACTTCTTTCAGTTTCAGAAATACTTTAGCCTAATTCAAGTATTTTTATAAACAAGAAAAAAAAGCAGGAGAAATCTTACAAAACAGTTGCTAAAATACATCTCTGACTGTTGTCTTTCATTGCTGCTTTTTGTTGTTTAACAAACACCACTTCCCAACCCAACACTTGAAAGCCTAAAGCACAGCAACATCTGTAGGGATGACAGCTCTTACCTCGTCCGATTCACTAATACAGTGAAGATCGGCAGAAAATCCATGGGCTGCAGCTTGCTCGTGTATTTCTTCAGCTATAGCCTTTGCCTGTCCTTTCTGGGTGGCGTATAGTAACAAAAATCTTCTCATTATTTCAAGGCATAGACTGTGACTAACTGTAACAGTGACACAGAAAACCAGAAAATGGATTATTTCTTAAGGAAGTAGTAACAACTAATATTGGCTTCAATTTTTTAAAGCAATTCAATAATATCCACCAGAAATATAAGATAGCCTTCTCTAATTTTGCTTAACATTAATTTAAAATGAGCTTAAATAATTCATTCAAGTTAGAGAATGTAAGAGAATGGAAAGCAAATCCCATCCTTCAGAAATCCCAATAGCAAACTGTCATTCAGAAGTGCATTCCTGTAATCTATCTACCCAAATGAACTACAGTTAGCTTCCTTATCATAAGCAGGATCCAAACACCAGACAGCTTACACCACAGGATCCCTTTTTTTTTTTTTTTTTTGGTGGGTCGTGGGGCTTGAACTCTGGGCCTGGGCACTGTCCCTCAGCTCTTCAGCTCAAGGCTAATGCTCTACCACTTGAGCCACAGAGCCACTTCAGGCTTTCTCTGCTTATGTGGTGCTGAGGAATCAAACAGGATCACTGCTGAAAGTCTTGGATACCTTGTTTCTTCTTTCTTAAAAAAGGCAAAAACAAAAAAAGTGCTGCTAAAACTGTAGCATTAACTGGTACCTATTTGATCTTAATGCTAAAAGAAAAAATAACTAATCACAGTACTAAAGTTAATCACAATGCAACTCTTCCTTACAACTTACTATCAAATGTGTACCATGGACGCACACATGGAAACAAAGTATCTCCAGCTCAAACTCTGAGTACAGAGTTTGGGTGGGTTTTTGTTCATCCCCATTCTGTGGGTAATTTCAGGGAAAATTTTAGAGTGAATCTCGAACCAAGGTCTTAACTCTTGGGTGCACGAACCACCTAGTTTTATGCTCTTCTTATCTAAATACAAAGTGACACACACCCCTACCTGAGATCACACTCAGTTCGTGAGCACAAGTCCTCGTGATCATGATCAGTGTCACCCTTTCCCATCATCTGTCTCCTCGCAGGACCCGCACGCACTCGACGCGCGGCTGGAAGAGGCCAGCATCCCGGATCCGGAGGAACCCGCATCCCGGGGAACCCGGACGGCAGGCGCCCCGAGAGGAGGCCCGGCCCGGCCCGGCCCCTGGCGGGCAGGCCCCGCCCCCGGCTGGCAGGCCCCGCCCCCGGCTGGCAGGCCCCGCCCCTGCCGGCCCCGCCCCCGAACAGGCCCGCGGGCCTCGGCGCCTCCCCATGCACAATGATCGTGAGGGCCGGTACAGCGCTCCCCAGACCCTGGGCAAGCCTCGCCGCCAATTCCCACCACGCGCAAATCAGCTCCCGCACCGATCCGGTCCGCTTCTCCGTCAGGCTTGATCCGGGACCGCCGCACCGTCCTCTCCTACCCGAGCGGCGTGGTCCGGTTCTCCCCCAAACCACTCCAAGTCCGACCAAACAGCCCACGCGCACGCAGGAAACACGCTTGCGCGGCACTTATGACCAATAGAGAGCGCCGAAGGAAACCTGGACCAATCACGGAGCGCTCGATATGGGCGGTACCTGGGTGTGTCCCTGGCGCCGAGCTGCTCCTGATTGGTCAATATTCTACCTTTCCCACCCACCCCCACTACGGAAGCTCCCGAGGCTCAGTAACCTGCGCTTTGGACCGGGCGTCTCGCGTGCGCAGCGCGGTAAGTTCGCCCGGGCTTTCTTCGCTGGCCCGCGCGCCTCCGGGGCCGGCGGGCGGCCTGGTTGCGGGGACGGTGGGGGGGCAGCCG